GAAGCTGAATACACACAAATTATACCGAATAGGCTTCGGTTTGCTTTTTTAAAATTGGTGGTGCCGAAGGGGCGTAAAATCTAATGGACACCTTCAAGATCCCAAGCAGAATCTTCTATATTCACGGTCTGCTGGATGGCCAGACTTGAGGCGGCGAACGCTGTTCCATCCAGCTTCTCCACATTTCCGATAATACCTCCAGAAGCACTGCCTCCCTGATAGGCTATACCCGCTTTGTTACGGGCAAGCATCGCTGTCTCGAAAAAGTCGCGCTGCCTGCTCAAGAGGGGCCAGTTGATGCCTGCCTGCGCTATACCAGCTACTTCGGGGCTAAATGGAATTGTGGAGCTGGCTACAGCTGTTCTCGCTGCGATTGTGTCGGTGTGCAGTATGGGTGCTGGAGGTAACAGCAGTTTGGCTTTTGACAAAGGTTGCGGTAGGTAGTCATTAACAGTAATATTGGTAGAAACCTGAGAATCAGTGTCAGAATCATTTGATTTATCCTGACAGACGAGTGCTAGCTCTTCCGCCAGCTGGGCAGCTTCTTTATGCATTGCATGAGTGACGGCAGTGAGATAGGCGAGCGATTCTAAACAAATAGAAGGATGAATAAATGAAGTACAAAATTAATTACAGGAGACATTCAGGATAGTGGATTAAAGACTCTGCATTTAAATTAGGACGAATAAACGTAGGATACAAAACAACCATACAAACGGAATCACTTAAATTATAAGAGAATGAATAAGCCTTTACCCTTATGAATCATTTAAAAATATACAATAGTTATCAAGAGAAAACATGGCCATATTACATCTCTTCCAGTTCGGCTTTATGAAAAGATATTGAGCTGCATGAAGTGATTCAAGGCCAGCTTAACTTTGACGAACGGACAGAAAGCCTTATAGTGACCTATCCCCATACTTTTCCCATTCACTGTTTAATTTTTGTTGCATCCCATACGTAGCCATGGCTCAACATGCTTTGACGCAGAGATTACGTGAGTGATCTCCTAAGAAGGATAGGCAGTTTAAATTAATCAATAAAAACAAGGTTAAAAGAACACCAATGACTCTGCAGGGAAATAGATACGGAAATATTGGAGATAGTTGAACATATTGTCATGACCGGTCACAAGATTGACTTATATACTACGGAAATACTGGCCTCATATGTAGAGAACAAAATAAAAATAAAAATCAGGGATGACGTGGACAGCGCATTTCAAAGAAACCTAATGAAAAAGAGATTGGAAGAGGGAAGGGTCAAGGAGAATTTAACTTACTTATCGGGCATACTTATAGATCCAGCGAGGACCCCTAAAATAAAACGATCGAACCAAGGACATATATTCAACAACAGGAAGAGACATAGCCAGGAAGATTATGAGGAACAAATGAAAGTAAAAAGAAGGCGATTGCGATGAGAACAGCCAAAACTAGAATCAACATGAAAAAGTTAAATGTGATATATGGAGTTAAAGGCACATAAACATCTGAATAGCACACTATTAGGTGTTAGTTTTG